TTCTGCGTCATCGCACACCAGTTTCCTGCGGGGGTGATGGTGACGAAGCTCTTTTTTTTGCAGCCCAGTGGCCAAGCCCCTTACCCCCTTTTTTTCTGCCTGACACCATGGCTCCCCTGGATTCTGCCCTAGCCCCCCACAAGGTGCCTAAGGGGGAGCACTCCATTACCTGCAAACATTGTCCTCGGTGCAGAATCCATAGTGGCGGTTGCAGGGTGGGAAGCATTCAGCTCCTGAGGCACAAGAAAGGTTACACCATTCATCTCACCAGGCCCCAAAGGCCACAGCAAGGGAGCACACACCCTCTGTGGTCCTACCGGCCTGGCACACAGTAGGTACTTCCCACTAACCCACTCAGGAAAAGCTCTCTACCATGTTCCTGCTTAAGGAGTGACCACAGACCGTTGCTTTATTCTCACCAGCAGGTCAGACATCTCATTTCCCTCCAAACAAAGTGTGAGACCTCAAGCTCTGAAACTGGGGAAGGGGGAGGTGGGCGGACAGGTTTTGACACCTGGGCACTCAGACAGACCCTCAGTTTTGCTAAGTGGGCTGGAGGGGGAACAGATTTTGAGGTATTCCTCTCCGGGGAAACCCAGGCAGGTTCACCTGGCAGCTCACAGGTAGGCATCTGGATATTTGTGCAGGTTCATTCCGGTGAAGCCAGGAACCCAAGTCAGGGTCCCCTCCAACTTCCCCTGCCCCACACTCGTCATCGGAAAAAAAACTGCGCCACAGCTTTGCAGAGCTTGACTGCAATCAATCCTGACCCTATTTAAAGATTCTGAGTCTTCATAGGCGCCTACTGTGTGCATTTACCTCAACCTGCACCCCGGCTTTCCAGACAGCCCCCTCCCGCGTGCCCACCCGTGCAGGGGGGCGGGGGCCCTGCGGGAGGGGCCACTCTCACTGTCAGAGGCAGATGGCCGCTGAAGGCAGAAGTGTCGCATCCCCTCACCTAGAGAAACCACGCAGCAGGGCCCAGGCCGGGCTCCTGGTTAGGAATTTGGGGCTGTGATGGCAAAGTCACCCCCGCTGCCCCCACAGACCTGTACCCCGATGCACGCACAAAGACCCCCAAAGTTGCACCCCAGAGCCTTTTCACAGGTCTCCAGCATCACCTCTTTTCTCCTACCTCTTGTCTCAGCGCACCGACACCCCTCCGAGCACCACTTTTGGGGGGCGGGAAGGGGACTGGGGTCCCACACTTCCCCCGTCCCCCCCCCGGACCCCCAGGGCCGGGCTTGGCGTGCAAGGGGAGCCC